AAAAAAAAAAAAAAAAAAAAAAAAAAATACAGTGTAGATCACTATCTTCTGATTGTACATTTTAATATTAATCATAAGCAGGTTGAGACAAGTTAGCTTGAGATTAGTTTTAAATTTCTAACCATCCATTCATGAGAAAAAGTTGTCAATCTGCACAATTTGATCTGACATGAATCCCTATAGAGAGAACAAACTTAATTTTATTTTTGAAAATTTAATTTTCCTGGCTACTAGTACTTCACTCTACCATTTACTGTCCAGATGGGATTCCTTTTTTTAGCCAAAAAAGTCTGCATATCACACTAATTTAAAGTCAGCTTGAAGCTACTATACTCTAAAATACATTTATCTGAAAATGGGGGAAAAAAAGTGAAGTGTAAAAAATTGTGTAAGAACTCAACTGGTAACACTCAAATGTACAATTTATGATTGTAATGAAAGGTGACCCAAAATGTCATTTAGTACAAAAAAGGAAAAACTTACAATCATTTGAGATACAAAGCATATCTTTTTATTTTACAATCTCCCTAGCATTAAATGTGTCTAAATAAAACAAGACCCATATTAAATTTTTTAAAGTAACTTTTCTCAGTTCTTGTTTTTTTCAGATTAAATAATTATTATATATTAATTATAGAAAACTACGTAATACAGATAGCCAAATTGAATCTTGTACAAAATTTTACTGAGTTTCAAAGAGGGTCTTTAATTTTTTTTTCCACTGTTTTTCATTTCCATTCATGCCTGCCCTCCATGGTTCCAGTACATAATACAACAGAAAAATATTTTTCTTTATTTTCTTTTTGGCTGAAGTGAGAAGCTTTGGAAATTTCAAAAAATTAGTTCTCAAGAAATTTCCAGCTCAGTGTTTCCAATAGATGATTCTCATGGTGAAAAGTCTGCACTTCTTGAGTGTTTTTCCTAATCAAAATGTAGCCATCTCAGTTTCTCTTCTGTCATTTGACCACTTAAATAAGTTTTAAAAATTAGTTGTTTTTATTATTGGAATAGTAAAATTTATATCTTTTGCAATTAATTTGAGTAAGTTAATTATTTCTAACCCTGCTTTAACAAAAGTAGTAAAGAAGCATGTCAGCCTCATTTGAGCACAGAAAGAAAAACCAAGGAATTTAATCCCGTCGTTAACATTAATATTCTTGGGAGCCTTGGACAAAAATGTAACTTCTCTGTCTCTTATTGTGGACTACCAATTGTAAGACTTACCCACATTATAGGGAACCCACAGGGATTTATTTTCTGTTGTGGGTGCTTCAAACACTTACTTATTAAATATCTAAAACTGCTCCCTACACTGTGGAGCCTTGGGCACAGGTGAAGTAAAATGCTACTGACTGAATTACTTGTTGAACAAGAGAAGAATTCTGTTTCCTATTATACAGCCATCTCAGTAAGCAGATCCGTTCTTATAAAATAGTCATAATCACCCCTGTTAACGGAAAATGCTTTTAATCATTTTATGACCACCATAAACAGTACTCTCATGGGACCTATCCCTATTCAGGTTTTAACAGAGATGTAAAGAGTATGGAATGGACTGTTTTAGGGATATCTTAAGAATATTGGCCTCTGGGACAGCAATTTTATTATCACAGTGATCTTTTATCGCTACCTGCCAGTGAAATGGAGAATAGTTATCCAGAAGTATCAAGGCAGGCAATTTTAATTTTACCTTACTTTTCAACACGAGTGAGAGATATCTACTCTAATTGACATGTTCTAATGTAAAGAGATGCATAGAGAAAAAGAGAAAGCTTTGCATTATTTTCTTTTTAACTAAAGAAATGAAAATAGGTTAAGAGCTTGAAAAAAGTCAAGATAAAGAACTTCTAAAGAAAATACTTAGCCTTTGAGCACAAAGCTGTTTTTGAAAAGAGTGTTTTGTCTAAGATAAAAAAATTCCATAAGTATATTCACAACTGGTATATGTTGCTATAAGCAAAAATGTTTGAATGTTTTCATTTCCCAACAAAGTATCATAAGTATCTGGGAACAAAATAGCTTTAAAAGACAAGCCCATGATATAATATTTGGGTTCTTTCAAAGTTAGGAATAATGTTAAATAAAGTCTTGTCAATGAGGATAATATACGCTCTGTGCTATTTCCCATGTTGTGCTTGCATGTTTTCCCTTATTCTAGCATAAAGATTAATGTTCTTTGGTATCTTTTTCGTTCTGCTTTTATTCTTTAACATTTAGGTGCCTTGACCCAAGCCATTCGAAATTTTGCAAAAAGCCTTGAAGGTTGGCTTTCCAATGCCATGAACAATATTCCACAGAGAATGATACAAACCAAGGTATACTTTTATGTCCTTGCTTTTTCTTTTGTGTTTAGGAAATCGTTATGAACTATGAATTTTAAATCTGTCCTATCAAATGATATTATGTAGAATATTAATATTATAATAAATTAAATCTTTTTAAATTGATTTTTGTATTTGTATTTTATAACCATGTGGTAAAGAACTTGCACAAGATATGTTGTTTGATGATGCTCCTTTCAGAGAGACTAGAGAAACATTTTAGGTGTGGTGTATTTATCAGCCCTTTTCTAAAGTGTATATTTAAGATTGCTTAATTTCAGTTATTGAAAAGAACAGCCTAGAATGTTCAGATAGTTTCCATTTGAGTTTTAGAATTTTTAGGTCCCCTACTATACTCATTGTATTCCGAAATGTTCATGTAAATTAATAACCATTTGCTTTTCAGGATGTTTTGGTTTTTTAACACTGGAGAATGCTTTTGTGAATCAAGTAATCATTTTTTTAAAATAAATTTATTTTATTTATTTAATTTTGGCTGCGTTGGGTCTTCGTTGCGGTGTGCAGGCTTTCTCTAGTTGCCGCGAGCAGGGGCTACTCTTTGTTGCGGTGCACGGGCTTCTCATTGCCATGGCTTCTCTTGTTGCGGAGCATGGGCTCTGGGCGCATGGGCTTCAGTAGTTGTGGTTCGCGGGCTCTAGAGCACGGGCTCCGTAGTTGTGGTTGGCGGGCTCTAGAACATGGGCTCAGTAATTGTGGTGCATGGGCTTAGTTGCTCCACGGCATGTGGGATCTTCCTGCACCAGGGCTTGAACCCGTGTCCCCTGCACTGGCAGGCGGATTCTTAACCACTGTGCCACGAGGGAAGCCCAAATAATCATTTCTTAAAGAGAACAGTTATCTCATAGTGGATGAGTATATTTCAGGAATGTGGATTATTTAGCTAGAGATATGAATTCTCCTCTCCACTTTGTCCCCTACCAACCATGTTACTTTAGGTTAATCTGTGAACATACATGGCAGATCGGACTGATTCTGTCTAAACTTTGATAACAAAAATCACATTTGTGGCCTTTTGTCAGGGTCTGTATCTACTGTCAGACGCCAGCAGTATGCCTTGGCTTTCAGTCTGAGAGTGTGATTGAAGCTCTTGTAGCTGACAAGTCTGTGATAGCGCAAGTCTGCTTCGGCTTAAGGTTTGCAATAACACATTCTCTCTCTAAAATGTATAGGACACATTTCATGGATATGCCCACCTTAGATTGTTGCTTTAGAGCTGTGCTGTCAATACAGTAGGGCTAACCACATGTGGCTATTTAAATTGTAAATTTAATTAAATTGCATTAAAATTTACTTCCTCAGTCACACTAGGTACATTTCAAGTGCACCTTAACCCATGTGGCTAGTAGTTACCATACTGGGTAACACATAAGTAGAGCATTTCCATCATTGCAGAAAGCTCTCCATGGTAGTGCTATTCTAGAGTGCCACATTCAGGTGGGCAAATAAAGGAGGTGCTATTTGATTATGATGGTCAGAGGAATGTTTTCCAACTTGCAAAGTCAGTCATAGTTATAACAATACTTTCAAACAGCTAAAAGTACCTCCTGCCCCAGTGTCATCAAAGTGGATGTGGTAGCAATCCATCTGCAATATGGGCCATCTCACTGATCTCCAGAGTTGATTTGGGTGGTTTACCTTGGAGGAAGGTGCCTTCTGCTATTCCTCTCTCACGGACATGCAGCCTTTTTTCAGCTGAGCATTTAATCAACAAAGATGATCTAGCGTGACAGTGGAAACAGCATAATGAGGTTGTGACTGAAAGTTATTATCAAAATGCCTGGATTCATATCCCACCACTGTACTGTAGTTTCTGTGTAACCTTGAGCGAGATCGTTAACCTCCCTAAGTCACAACATGTGTCTAATAGAATGTTTATGAGAATTGAGCAAGGTAATGTATGTTAGGCATTTAACACAGTGCCTGGCACGTGATATGTCCTTGATTAGTATAAACCACAGAGATGGGAAAATGTGAAATACTCTCTTTGGGGGTATGTGAACGTCCCCCAAGTTCCACATGGTCCTGAAACATCTCACTATCAAGATAGAGCATCCTTTGGCCTGTGGAACGCCTTCTACTGCTCAGCTAACTGACTGTTCAATCAATTGCTTGTCATATACCCATAGTGATTTAATGTCATTCCTGTAAATATGTTAAAGTCCTCATTAGATCTGCTATGCAAGTAACAAATTTTCATGAGATCATGAGATTTAGATATTTACCTAGACTTTTTCTTTGTCATTATCTTTGCTATCTTTCAATATAACCCAGTTTGTTCAGGGGTTCAGCAGGGAAAAAATGGTATATCCAAAGGGGAGAATAATTGAATGGAGTTTAAGAAGGGTCTGTTTCTAAACGTGTGAAAAGAGTTAAGAAAACCAAGGAGGAATGGTACAGCTCCCCAGGACTAGCAGAATAGTGGGAAGCCTGCCCATCCCTAGGTCTGAAGGGGAAAGAAGTGATCATGGCTTCAGATCTTCTCCTTCCTCCAGAGCTGTGGCCTTTGGAAGGAGAGGGCAGAGGTTGTGAGGGAATTAATAGTTTGACTACTTTCTTCCGTCCTTCAGTCTCTTACCAGTGCCTTTCATTGGCCAAACCCAACTGGAAGCCAAAGGGCAAGAGAGGCAGTTAATGTAACCTATTCAGTTTAGTCCTCCTGGGCACAGAGCAGAATGGAGAAGGCCGGAAAGTACACTTTGAAGGACAAATGGAGATTTTTCTGGATAGCCCTTTTACAGAAATTCAAATTCTGAAGAGTTGCTTGTATCTGATAAGTTTATTAGCTATGTATTTGCTAATAAAGTCTTTGAGTGCTCTTATTTCACCTCAGAATTACCCACTCCTATTTCACCTCTATAAAATAAAGGTAAAAAGAGTGAATCTTAATGACAGTGCTCTGAAAAGCATGTTTTTTAATCCAGTTTAAAAAGTAGGACTGGATAGTGTGGTTTTCCAAGTAAAAGGAAAAATACTTTATTTGCTTAGTTTGTAGTTGACTGTCGTACAGAGAATTAGAAATGAAAATCAACATTTTTCCTACTTGTCTCGACTAAATCATTTCTTGCTATGGATTAGTAGCTACTTGCAAGACTGGTTTAATTAATGGTGCACTCAGATGTCGAAAAATGTGGGAGTTTGTTTTAGCCTTGACCTCAGCCTACTCAAAAGGAAAGTAATACTTGGTTTAGAGGTTTAAATGCTATAATTTACGAGTAAGCCCTCTCACCAAATGAATTTGAAATAAGTCTCAGAGGGAAGCATTTAAAATTTGGCAAGGGAATAAAGATTTGAAGATTGCAGTGGTTTCTTTTACTGGAGGGGGAAAAAAAAAAATCCCAACTTAATTGGATTTCTTTACAGGTTGCAGCTGTAAGTGCCTTTGCCCAGACTCTGCGAAGATACACGTCGCTCAATCACCTGGCCCAGGCAGCTCGTGCAGTGCTTCAGAACACTTCTCAGATCAACCAGATGCTCAATGACCTCAACCGTGTCGACTTTGCCAATGTCCAGGTACTCTGTTTTCTTTCAAAACGTGTCTTTTAATGAAAGGTATCCAATTTTTTTCTTCTTAATTAGGATCATCATATTTCTTTTCAAAGTTACATCAATTCACAGGCACATCTAGATTCACAATATCCTGAAAGAGGAGAGTTTTACTCAGCTATGGCTTTACTCCTCTGTTTTGCGGTTAAAGTCTGCTAATATTTATAGTGCTAGACAGCAACATATGTCACCAGGGTTTGCTGAATGATTAATAGAGTAATGATGACCACAGTCAGTGAAGTTTGGTAGGCAGGAGATGAAACTCTTTCATCTACTAGCTGTGGGGTCTTGGGCAAGTTACTTAACTCTTCTGGGCTTTACTTTCTCCATTTTATAACACATATCTTGGATTACTGTTTACATATCTAGTAATACGTAAAGCCCGTAGCACCATGACACGCACACGAGAAATTTGTTTTCAAAAGTGCCCCACCTTGAAACTCTATTTCAGAGTTTACTATAGGTACCTGGTAAATACTTGTTATTTGAAAAGAATTAGGTGTAATATATCTGACTCTTTTGACCATCCAAATGAAAGAATAATTTTTTAACCTAGTGATGAAACTACTCACTTGTACATCAAAGTACACGTAAAAAATAGCTACTTTAGGAATATTATTATGGAATCCCAACAAGTATTTTATTTCAGATACTAAAATAATGAAGCTAATTGTTACCAATGAAAATAAAACAGTCCATGGCTCACTCAAAGCAAAAGCAACAAAAGATATATAAATATTGAACATAATCAAAATTTTAAACTTCTGTGCTTCAAAAGAGACCATCAAGAAAATGAAACGACAACTTATGGTATTGAAAAAATGTTTGCAAATCATATATCTGATAAAAATTTATATCTAGACTATATAAAAAGAACTATTATAACCCAATAATGAAAAGACAACCTCGTTTAAAAAATGGGCATAGATCTAAATAGATATTTCTCCAAAGAAGATATACAGATGTCCTATAAAGTACCAGAAAACTCATTCAGCAGCCACCAGGGAAATACAGATTAAAACCACACTGAGGGGCTTCCCTGGTGGCGCAGTGGTTAAGAATCCACCTGCCAGTACAGGGGGCACAGATTAGAGCCCTGGTCCAGGAAGATCCCACATGCCACACAGCAGCTAAGCCCGTGCGCCACAACTACTGAGCCTGTTCTGTAGAGCCCGCGAGCCACAACTACTGAAGCCTGTGTGCCACAACTACTGAAGCCTGTGCGCCTAGAGCCTCTGCTCTCAACAAGAGAAGCCATCGCAATGAGAAGCCCGCGCACTGCAACGAAGAGTAGCCCCCGCTCACTGCAACTAGAGAAAGCCCATGCACAGCAACGAAGACCCAAGGCAGCCAATAACTTAATTAATTAATTAATTAAATCTATAAAAAAAACCCCAAGATACCACTTCACACACACTAAAATGGGTATTATCAAAAAATAAAATAAAATGGGTATTATCAAAAAGACAAGTAATAGGGTTTCCCTGGTGGCGCAGTGGTTGAGAGTCCGCCTGCTGATGCAGGGGACACGGGTTTGTGCCCTGGTCTGGGAGAATCCCACATGCCGCGGAGCGGCTGGGCCCGTGAGCCATGGCCGCTGAACCTGTGCTTTCAGAGCCTGTGCTCCGCAACGGGAGAGGCCACAACAGTGAGAGGCCCACGTACCGCAAAAAAAAAAAAAAAAAAAGACAAATAATAACAAGTGTTGGTGAGGGTGTGCAGAAATTGGAACCCTTATACACTAGTGATTGGAATGCAAAATGCTGCAGCCACTTTGGAAAACAGTATGGCAGTTCCTCAAAAAGTTAAACATAGAGTTACCATATGATTTGGCAGTTTCACTGCTAGGTACATACCAAGAAAAATGAAAACATGTCCACCTAAAAACTTGTTCATGCGTGTTCCAGCAGCGTTATTCATATTAGCCACATAAAAGTGGAAACAACCCAAATGTCCATTAACTGATGACTATGTGAACAAAATGTGATATTCCACACAGTGGAATATTATCAGGCAATAAAAAGATGAAGTTCTGATACATGCCACAACAGAGATGAACGTTATGCTAAGCGAAATAAACCAGATACAAAGGACCGTACATTGTATGATTCCATTTATATGAAATGTGCAGAACAAATACATGTATAGAGACAAAAAGTAAATTAGAAGTTGCCTAGGTCCTGTAGACTGGTGGGATTGGGAGGTGATAGTTAAGGAGTAGTATGGGGTTTCTTCTTGGAGAAATGAATACATTCTAACATTGATTGTGATGATAGAGGCACTACTCTGTGAATATACTGAAAGAAGCCATTGAATTATATACTTTAAATGAATGAATTGTTCGCTCTGTGAATTATGTCTCAATAAAACTGTTTTAAAAAACAATATCGTTGCTTAAAGATAAACTAATTATTACTCCATTTCCTACAAAGTTTAATCTACAATTCTGGACTAGTTTTATCATTTAAAATATATCAAAAAGTAATATTTGGGTTTGATTTATTTTAGGGTGTCGTTAATTAGTTAAGTTCATTCTGACTTTCATGAATTGGGTTTAAACTTCTAATGTGTATAGTTTTTCTTAGATCTACATAAATATTTTTATATATACAAGCACACATACGCACACACATGCAAATATGTAAGCTCCACAAGAACAAACTGTCTCACGTTTACAAATCCATTAACTACATATTTCAGTGGAATTTACATTAACTGATTTTAGAGGGAATATTAAGAGTTCATATATTTTTGCCTTAAAATGTATACTGTTATGTTTTTGTCAAATCTTCATTCAGAAAAGATATGTTTAAAAGTACTTTAAGAAGAGTTGAAATGGTAAGGCAACTTCTAGTTTCAAAAAGTAATTTAAGTTTAATAACCGAAAATATATTTAAGAATGATTCCTAATAATATCTGAGAAAGATTTAAAATTTTCTGTTTTAACATTATTTTCATTCGTATAGTTGTGTGTCTGAACCCTATGAAGTATGTATAGAAATGAGTTCTTCCTGGTTATAAACGCCAGCCTTGGCAACATTATTGCATATAAATGGTCAGTTATACATCTATACTACTACTCATCCCCCACTCACCAACTTTGAGGTTACCTTTTCCCTTCCTTTATTCTCAGCTACCAAGTTTTTCTGGGTCCACATGACAGTTATTAGTGCTGAAACCTGTGTGCTTAAGTATCTGTCCTCCAAGACCTCCTTCCTTTCGTTAGAGGACCATGAGCGCAGTGGTGTGCCCTCCATTTCCCCCTACATTTTACCTCTCACAACTCTGTTCATTTTCATATGTAATCTCCTTCTCAGGTTAGCTTATTTTATCTTTAACTCCTTTCTTTCCTCTTCTGTTCCACATTTTACCTGGTTTTCTGTCTCCTGCCTCCCATTCCACCTTCATCACCCTCTCCTGTTCATTTGGAAGTCCCTGCCCCTACGAGATTAACCTCAGTTAAGACTGACACCCTAAGACATATAGGGTGATGCTCTTGTAATAAGGGGACTTTAATTTAAAACAATGAAATCACATGTAAGTGTCAATATTTTAATGCTCTAAGAGCTTAAGTTTCTTTCAGGATATCCATAAATCTCTTTCATTACTTCATTCTTCTCTAATTAAATCTTTTCCTCATGCATTCAGGATAATTTCCCTATGGCCGTATAATTGGTTTTCTGTTTTAATTAACTGATAGTATTACAATAGTATTGCTTTAGAATTGTTTTGTGTAAATGGATAGTTTTCCAAATACAGTATGGGCTAAATATACTTGGGTTGGTTGACCTGATAACCTAACTTTTGCATATACTTGTGTTTCTGTATTTAAAAGACATTCTGATTTTGAAGCTACTGACTCCTTATCATCTTGGAGATAATTTATTTCCAACTTAATAATATCTTTAATTTTCATCCTTACCTTTTTCCACTATAGAATTGAAATAGCCGAATTCCTTCACAGGAATATACTTCACAGGAGTAATTACAGTGTACTCTATTGTTAGTATATTTTCAATCTTAAGAGTAGTAAAATGAAATATAATATAAAGTAGTTTGAAAAGTCAGAATAATGTCCTATGGCTTTATTTCTCTAAGTTTAGTTTTAGATTATCATTATCTCTTGGCAAGAACTAACTTCCTAGGAAGCAGTGAGTTTGAATTTATGTTAAGAAATGAAATTAAATTCTTCCAAGGATACCAGTAAGTTCCTCCTGCCTCTTACCAATGCACAAAAAAATCTTCCACAGTGGGTATAGAGTTTCAGTTTTGCAAGATGAAAAAGAGACCTATTGCACAGTAGTGAGCATATAGTAAACACTCCTATACTGTACACTTAAAAATGGTTAAGATGATAAGTTTTATGTTATGTGTTTTTTACCACAATCAAAAAAATGCTTAGCTATTCATGAAAAAATGAAAACAACCTCCCCTATCCTTTCTTGAGACATAAATTCTTCCCTGGGTGCTCTTCTGGACTCCTAAATTGATATAAAAGTTCTGGGAGTCATTTAACAGTGTATTTTGAAAAATCTATTACTTAGAAAAAAGTACAAAAGTAAGCAAAGATGTAGTTACTAGATTGCTAATTCCAGCATTTTTCCTAATAGTAAAAAATTGGAATGACCATAAATGTGTAACTATATGGAATTGGTTTTGTGAATAATGGAATATTTATGCATTGAAGCAAATTCAATCACTGAACAATAAATATAGCTCCTCATTTGCCTATACGGAAAGTCATTTATCATATATATTGAAGTGGAACTAAGCAAAATATCAAGTAAAATGTATAATATGATCCTCTTTTAAAATAACATATGTACGTAAGCATACATGCCTATGTATATACTGCATGTGAACAGTTTGAAAGTTATTAGCATGTTGTAGTTATCTCTTAATGTTGGCATTTTAGATATTCTTAATATTTTGTTCCTTTTTATTTATATTTTCAATTTTTAATAATCATTGTGGTGTACTTAAAATACTTAAAAGTGATATTTAGGAGGTAAAATCGGAAAGACTATTACTAATTAGGTAAGAGAAAGAAGGATAGTAGATGGTATCATCAGCTGGGAATGTAGAAGAAGCCCTAGGTCTCCCTGAAGAAATAAAATGAATTGAGTTTGGGGCATATTTTATATTTGAAGTACCTCCCAGTTGAAATGTCTCTTAAATAAGGTAAAGTCTGTAGGGTCAGGAGAGGTGCTGGAACCAGAGGGTGGAGATTAGGGGTTTAGTTGAAATGGTTGATTTGAATAAATTTGTCCTCTGAGAACAGATAGATTGAAAGCTATAGACACTTTTCAGAAAAATGCATACATATTCACAATGTTTTAGACATAGAATTAGGACCTTCACAGACAGCCCTGCACAGAAATCTATTGTGAAAATATTATCTGGACACAGTGAACCCAGTTTAAAAATTCTTGTCACATTTCATTTCTCTAATGTTATGCTTGGGGAAAATGAGGCCCACGCCGATTAAATGAATTGCTTGAAGTTAGTTTAGCTGATTCAGGCCCTGTGTTATCAGCCATGTCCTTATTCATATTATATTACCAAATAATTGTATTCTGACCTTAAGAGTATAGTATTTTTTTAATGTTAAAATACAACATAGCACTAGAAACATTGTAAAACTTATGGCAGCCATTGAAAATTAACTTTAGAAGTTCCTGTTTTCATTGCTGTTACCAAACATGAAACTTTCCTGTCAGAACCAGAAGGAAAAGTATAGTGATCAAATTTCTTGGCAGGTAGCCTTCCTACATTTTCTCAAAAGTATTTTTGTTGTTGCTGTTTTCGGTTCTGTGAATTAATTTGCATTCATAGCCTTGCCTCTATAGCCCTTGAGACTTCAGTTTCTTATCCGTAAAACTCATATAGCATATACTCCTACCTTGTATCATTCAGTGTTTGTTTTTGTTTTAATCCTGAGGGACCACTTTTGGCCAATTGAATCTATTTATCCATCTGACTTACCCTAAATCTTTTCAAATGAATTGGCTTTAAAGTTTTATCTGATTGCGAGAAAAAAGAGAGGGAGTAAAAGCTAAAGAAAGACGCCTCATACTGTCGGTTCAGGCTCCTGTTTTTCTTAAGTAATCCTATATTTTAGTCTTTCACACAGACTAGTTAATGTAGGAAAACCAAGTCATACTTTTATGTCACATCACTTTTTCATTCACAAAGGCGATGTTAGTTTCCTTAATAACTGACAAGTAGTCCTTCATTTTCTTAATTCATTTAATTGTTTTACGCTTTCAATATAATTTGCCATTTATGCATATGGTTTGTGTGCTGACACTCAATGAAAAGGTGCTGAGTTGAACTTTTTCTTTGCTTTCTGTGTACTGTCCCAGGAGCAGGCTTCCTGGGTATGTCAGTGTGATGACAACATGGTTCAGAGACTAGAAACGGACTTCAAGATGACTCTTCAGCAGCAGAGCACCCTGGAGCAGTGGGCTGCATGGCTTGACAATGTGATGATGCAAGCACTGAAACCCTATGAAGGAAGACCCAGTTTTCCTAAAGCTGCCAGGCAGTTTCTGCTAAAATGGTCTTTCTACAGGTATCATCTCAAATTTTCCTATTCTGCAATTATGTATGTACATGCTTCTCAGAAAAGAGCAAAGAAAGGAAGACTTTAGTTTGCAGAAACTCCATGTTGTGATTATCTTCAACCCAACTCATGACTACAGCATCATGGAATTGTACCAGGAAGCTTATGGAAATAAAATTCCTGCTAGGAAAAGAAAGGCTCTTATTCAAAGCCCTAGAAGTTCTCAGATGGGAGCATCTGAGATCCCAGTCTAGATAAGATGTTTAGCAACAGTCAGAAAGGGACTACAGCCCTCCTGGCAAACGTGTATTATTTAGTCTTCTTTCTTGAGCCCTTACCACCACTCTTCTTCTCTAGTTCAGGGATTCTCAAACTGTGGTTCGCTAGACCAGTAGCATCACTATTGCTTGGAAGCACATTAGAAATGCATATTCTCAGACCCCTCCCCAAAAGGTACCTGAATCAGAAACTGCAGAGGGGAGGCCCAGCAATCTGTGCTTTTTAAAGTATGGTCCAGGCAGTTTAGATGCATACTCAGAACCACCTAGTTAATTTCTTAATTTGATCAATTACAATTGTTTTCAAACCTAGCTGCACCTCAGAATTAGTGGAAAGAAGAACAAAACAAAACTCCTAGCTATCTCCCCCAAACTACTGAATCAATATCGTGGTGGTTAGAAAGAAAGTAGTGATTAGGAGTAGGGGTAATCAGAAATTTTTTTTTCAAAAACCTTACTCCTGGTGATTCTAATGCATAGCCAGTTTAATATCGAATAATCTAGTAATACAAAATGAATCACTTTTTGACTAAAAGGATATATATATATATATATATATATATATATATATAAATGTATGTTTTTCTAGACATAGAAGAACCCCAGGAGAGAAAGATTACTTCATATATAATATCAAATGTTGGGGTGAACCATTGACCATAGGTCTACTCCAGGGGTTAAAAAACAGAACCTGTGTGAGTTGGCATATATACTATATATATGACATAGGATGGAATTGACAGAGTTCCATTTCTTAAGCTAAGTTACATAAGTTATATTTTTGACCCCGGAATTTATTCTTGTGATGGGAGTTCATTTCTTTGCTTCTTTAGATAATGGTGGCCTCAGTGGCTCGGGCCGAAAAGCCATGTCTACTTTGAGGTTTAGGCAGTCCCTAATTTAGTTCCTGTGCAACCATGCGCATATCAAAGTAGTGACTACAGGACATACCACTGACTGTGGCTATGTGTACCCTATGGTCATCATCTGGACCTCAGTGGTGAGTCCAAAGCAGTTGTGAGGAGAGAAGGTATAGAAAGAAGTAGCAGAGTTTAGAGACTAGTAGAAATTCTGAACCCAGTAAGCCCAAATTACAGGATTTCCATCTTGTTTTGACCACCTTGATAAAGATGGAACCAGAGATCTTTTAATTATGGTGGTAGTTGCTTGGTTTTTATTGTGACTTCTTTCTTTCTCAACTGATTTGGTCCAATTCTTATTTCTTAAACTGAAGTAGAGGTGTAGATTCGCTGTATATGTTTAATTAGGAGTTAAATTATCCTTACATCCTGAAAATCGTTTTCTAGTGTCTAGCCCAGGGTTAAATGCAGTGAAAGAAAGTCTACCAGTTTTGTGTTGTTGTCTTGTTTTTCTTTTGGGGACGGAATAATTCCACGGCTCTGTCTCTCATATATTTAGTGCTTTTAGTCCATATGATTTGAAAAGCACCTTATTATGGTGCTAACTCTGTGACCCACTGATATGCTTCATTACAGCCAGTCCTAGGTTTAGATCTGGGTGTCAGTGAGCAATGTGTTGATGATACGAGTTTTCCTTTGATACAGGGGGAAGATTTGGAAAACATTATCTCAGTATTCTCAAAGTAGATGTAGAAATAGTAGTATTGATAGTAGGATTCAAAATTTTAATTTGGGAACGTTTCTTAAGAAGATTTCAGATATTTTCCCATTTGCTTGCAGGTTGATTTCATCCTTTTTTTTTTTTCCTCAGAAAATCATATAGATGGTATATGTGCTTCATGAATGATGAAACAGAAGTTATACTAGCTGTTGTTCCAAAACCTATATGACCAAAAGCAGAGTGCATCCTCTATATCAGAAAAAAGCAAGGGTTTTTTTTTCTTCTTACTGTTTTCTTATCTCATTACATCAGACTTGCCCTTACTCGTTCCTGAGGACTTTTTTTCTATGTTTAGTTGATATCATTTTAGAAATACACTCCTGGAGCCTTTGTCTCCACAGAGATTTGTTGCAGGTATCTTGACAGAAAATTACTTACTTGTATTTCTTGTTCTCTGCAGATTTACAAACCCAGTAGATCATCACTTGCCTGCCCTCTGTCCTCCCTGAGTTGGGGATAGTTGGCTTGTTATTGTTAGACACTATTATGGTTATTATTTTCATTTCAAGAAGTCTTGAAGGCGTATACTTCAGGACCACAGAAGGAAAGGTGTATTCAGACAGATGCATACCTCCTGCTGGTAGGCGAAGTCAACAGCTTAGAAATTTAGGAGCCTCTAAAATCTGACCTGTTTTTTACCGAGGCATAACAACATATTGAGTAATGAAAACTGCATTCACAAACAGAAGCAGAATTACAGAGTGTTTTTTTTAATGTTTTTGGCTTTTTAAAAAGATTTGGCCAAAAAATAAAAGGTTTTTTTTTTAATTTTTTTGGTTTTTTAAAAAAAATTTGGAAAAAAAAAAAAAAAAAAAAAAAGAATTTGGCAGTCACATATATCAACCCTTCATTTTCTGAAGTTGATTAATCTCATAAATTTCTAAAATTCTCTGTATATATTTATATGCATACAAATAAAGAAATGGACTGGCAGAGAATCATGATAGCAGCAGTTGACATGTTGCTGCAGACACCCTCTGCTCCAAACCGGGGTCTCTCTTTGCCTAACCTGGCTTTGAATGACTACTGCTGGCTCCCGGAGAGGTGGAAAAAATATCACCACCTTTCTTGGGCAGAAATGTAGAAGTTAAGTGGGCCATTTCTCAGCTTGTGTGTTTTGTGGATAATGGAACACAGAATTCCTCAGGGTCACCCTGAGGGTCAACCAAGTATCCCATTTTTAAAAATGAAATTTATAGCTTCGATACAGTGACTTGAAAGGGGGCACAGAGAACCTAGTTTGCCTACAATTGAACAACATATAAATCTTCCAAAAAGTAATACTCTCAGGATCAGCTATAAGCACTGTTTGAGAAGAGAGTTCACGGTAGGGGGGAGGGGGTGGTCACAGGTGCGATGTTCTCATCTTTCTTCTTTGGAAGGGTGTGATGTATCCCCAAATACATAAAGAGGTGGATTGAGTATCATGTGTTTGGGGATATGTTTCAATTTCCACACCATGAGTTATAAAGATAAATACACAAAGGTATTTCTCATCCATTATAAAATAATTAACATTTATAACTCTGATTTTAAAAGGAGTTGAATTCATGGTAACTTAGCAACATGAAATTCAGTGGAGTCAATTTTGCAACATATCTTAGGGAAGTCTGAATCAGACAGTAGGTTTCCAATTAAACTGTTAATTGTGTCATTTGATACTTGGCTTGTAGGGCAGAAGCCCAACACAGAGAGCATGAAGCAGACACAGCATTAATAATATAATTCAACTGATTCTTTTCTAAACATATGACAATAATTTCTTAGCATGCTTATCAGTATTTTTAAAAATAACTAGGTATTAAAACTGAAGGTCAGCACCCTTTTTTTTTTTTTCATTTTCCAACAGAATTTACTATTACATGTGTACTTTATGCTGAAATACGGTGATTGCCCAGCTGTCAAATAGAATCCAAAAGCCTTAGCATGGCCTATAAGACCCTACATGGTCCAGCTGCTAGGGACCTCCAGGTCCCACCGTGTATTCTCTTTGCTCACATCCTCCAGCCACACTAGCCTCTGGGCTGTCCTTGGAATAAAACAAACATAGTTCTGCCTCAGTCTCTGTATTTGCTCTCCTTTCTGCCAGGAAAGCTCACATGTTCACACGGCTCACTCCTTCACTTCAGTCTCGGTTCTGCGCAAGATATCACCTCCTCAAAAAGAGTTTTCCTGACACCCTAACTTAAAGTGCCGGCACCCATCACTCGCCAGTCTCTTAACGTGACTTATTGTTTTTCATAGGGTTTAATCACTACCTAACTTTATATTTTATATCTACTCTGTTTTTATCAACTGTCTGTCCTACTAGAATGTGAGCTCTGTTGAAGCCAAATTTTTGTCTGACTTGCTCTAGAACAAGACCCTGGCACAGAGTAAGAACACAATAAATATCTATTGAATGAATGAATGTGAATTCTCTTGGAATAAAAAAATTGACTTTGCATTTTGTTTAATAATATCAGAAAGCTACTCAGTATGAATATTCTTCTTAGTCATTTACATTATTTTAAGGGAAATATAAAGCCCTAAAAGTTGAATTTTGAAATATAATTCATTCTATATCTGTGATATTTATCCCTGCAAAGATTTATTGACATTCAACCGGCCCACGATTCTTCTGTGTTGCAATGAATATCTTCTTTTTAAAATAAACAATTTTTGGGTTATGAAATTAGTATATACTCACTTTAGAAAATACTATAAAAAGAATAAACTTAAATCATCCATAATTTTACAACCCAGAAATAACTACTGGTAAAATGTTTTCTTTCAGTGTTATATAAAATTGAGATCCAATTGTTTATCAGAGTTTATTATCTGTATTTTTCCCTTAACATTTTTCATTTCACATTATACCTTAAGCATATCTTAAGAAACATAATTTTTAATGTCCTCACAATATTCCATTTTGTGTATGTCTCATACATTATTTAAACATCCCGTTTGTCTCTTATTCTTGAGCATTTGGGTGGTTTTTGGTCTTGTGATACAATTATAAAAAATACTGTAACGATTATCTTTGTATAAAGTTGCACATTTATCTTCAGATAAATTGAAATAAATTTGTACTTTTTAAGGTGACTAATACTATTTTAATGAAATGTGCTATCTCGATGCTTATAATAAAGTATTAAACATTCCCATTTATTTAGGGATAGGATTTTTTTAAGAATTATATCGATGGTTTCTATGTTAAATGGGCTCATATTATACTTTTTAGTTCTTGCACTTAACATTATATCATTGACATCTTTCCAAGTTACTGCCTATATGTGTACTCTCCCTCATTTCTTTAAACTTTTACATAAATTTACATATATGAATGAACCATTTTTTTTTACTTAGTATCCTACAAATGGATATTTAGTGTTGCCCCCTATTTTCTCACCAGTATAAATATTGCTGCAATTAAAACTATCTTTGCTTATTTGTGTAAGTTTCTAGAATTAGAACTGCTAGGTGATCACCGGTCAGAATGGCCATCATCAAAAAATCTACAAACAGTAAATGCTGGAGAGGGTGTGGAGAAAAGGGAAGCCTCATACACTGTTGGCGGGAATGTAAATTGATACAGCCACTATGGAAAACAGTATGGAGGTTCCTTAAAGAAACTGAAAATAGAACTACCATATGACCCAGCAATCCCACTACTGGGCATATACCCAGAGAAAACCATAATTCAAAAAAACACATGCACCCCAATGTTCATAGTAGCACTATTTACAGTAGTCAGGGCATGGAAGCAACCTATAAGTGTCCATCGACAGAGGAATGGATAAAGAAGATGTGGCACATATATATATATATACAATGGAATATTACTCAGCCATAAAAAGGGATGAAATCGGATCATTTGTAGAGACGTGAATGGACCTAGAGAGTGTCCTAGAGATTGTTCATACAGAGTGAAGTGAGAAAGAGAAAAGCAAATATTGTATAATAACGCATATATGTGGAATCTAGAAAAATGATATAGATGATCTTAGTTGCAAAGCAGAAAAAGAGAAACAGACGTAGAGAACAAATGTATGGATACCAAGAGGGAAAGGGGTGGGGTGGGAGGAATTGGGAGACTGGGATTGACACATATACATTTTTGATGCTATGTATAAAATGGGTAACTGATGGGAACATGCTGTATAGCACAGGGAACTCACCTAGTGCACTGTGATAACCTAAATGGGAGGGAAGTCTAAAAGGGAGGGGATATCTGTACGTGTATGGCCCATTCGTTTTGTTGTTCAGTGGAGGCTAACACAGCTTTGTAAAGCAACGCTGCTCAGCCATAAAAAGGAACGAAATGGAATTATTTGTAGTGAGGTGGCTGGACCTAGAGTCTGTCATACAGAGTGAAGTAAGTCAGAAAGAGAAAAACAACATATGCTAACACATATATATGGAATCTAAAGAAAAAAAAAGGTTCTGATGGACCTAGGGGCAGGACAGGAATAAAGACTCAGATGTAGAGAATGGACTTGAGGAGATGGGCAGGGGGGAAGGGTAAACTGGAACAAAGTGAGAGAGTAGCATTGACATGTATACACTACCAAATGTAAAATGGATAGCTACTGGGAAGCACAGGGAGACCAGCTCCATGCTTTGTGACCACCTAGAGGGGTGGGATAGGGAGGGTGGGAGGGAGATGCAAGAGGGAGGGGATATGGGGATATATATATATATACATATAGCTGATTCACTTTGTTATACAGCAGAAACTAACACAACATTGTAAAGCAATTAAACTCCAATCAAGATGTTAAAAAAAAAAAAAAAAAAAAACATTGTCAGAGAGAGAGATAACCTGCTTGTATTTTGTAAAAACAACAACTAGAAAACACTACTAGGTGAAAGCATTTGTGCATTTTTTATTTTGACATGTGTTGCCAAATTTCCCTTCATAATGTTTTGTGAATTTATGCTTGTAGAAACAGCAAATGAGAGTTCTTTTCCCATACCCTCTCCAACACTGATCTTTTAATGTCTTATAGTATAATAGATGATGTGTGGTACCTTACCTTTAATTTACATTTCTTTTAATTTTGAATAAGATTAGTCATATTTTTGTATACTTGTTAGCCATTAGTCTTCTCCAGGCTGTATTTTAAATAGCTGCTGTCTTTCTTCAGCAAGAGATGTGTACTTAGGAGTGAATATTCCACCCCATATTATTTAATTTTTCAAAATTATTTACTTCACATGATCAAATTTGGATGTATGTAAAAATGTTAGGCAACTTTTTATTGTTATTTTTATGTTGCTTTTGCTTTTGCTTTTTGAAGTAAAGGATTCTCTGCCTATTAAAATTTGTTCCATAGGAAAATAGTTTAATTTCAATAGCTATTAAATTTGTAATAATTATTTTTATGAATAGGTGATGTGTTACTGAATTTTGGGAAAAGCATGCATCGAATTATAACAGAATTTTGTCATTATATCTTTGACATATAAGTGAAAGTGTTAATTTATTTTTAGTGATTCTCTTATAGAGTTCCAAACTTAAGGTATTCATTAAAGTATTTGACTCTAAGGAATCATTCACCAGTACTGCTTTTTATAATAATGAGTATATTATTAACTCCAACATATGGAATAGTATAGTAATAGGTAGTTTTACTTAAGATTTCACACACATTATCTCATTTGCCTCTCAGGCTAATCTTGAATCTTTAAATGTTGAATGACATACTCACAATCAAGATCACATGGTGGTTAACATGGATCTAACTCCAAACCCGTGCTTTTTTTCTGTTTAGTAAATAGATCCACAGAATGAGAGACATCTGCCATCATCATATAGTAACACCTGTTCTTGCTGCCGTAGCCAAATGAGAGTCAGAAGCTCAGCTCCTCCTGTTTTGTGTATTAGGATCATAATCACTTACATTTCTGTCTTGTTCTATTCATTCATAAGTCTATTTCACAACCTTTAACACATTTTATCCTTGAAATAATCACGCAAATTAGGTAAGACCAAAAGTACTGCTTTCACTTTCACCCAAAAGGAAAAACACTCTCATGGAAATGATTTTTTTTTGAGATTGATAGTGAATTAATGAAGAGCCAGGATCAGAATCCAGGGCTTTAGAGTTTTAGATGTACAAGGATGATCTGTCACTTGCCAAGTTGAATGTGTAGAATTTGATATATTACTAGCCTCTATATAAATAAGGTTGAAAATGAAACAGAAATGTAGTCTTCTGTTTTTCCATCTGTCTGGAATTTTACAATTCTTCATTGCAAAATAAGGCCTAGGAATATCAGCCCATATATTAGTGAGATTCTATCTCCTCCTCCTATCAGAGAATATAATGCCTGTTTTAGTTTGCATAGGACAGAAATCTCTAGAAAAGGACACTAAATGAAAGTGAGAAGAAACACACACATACACACACACACACACACACACACACACACACACACACACACACACATCCTACCCTGACTCTAAGTTAGAAATATTAAAGAGATTTGAAGTGCTTAATAATTGACATGTCTTCAGTGAGGCCAAAATTTTATTTTGGTTCACTTCCATTTTGAGTGTAATAGTGTATTGTTAGTATTTTATTAATAATATGGTTCAGATTTTGGTATTTTATAAATTAAACATTCATATTTTTCAAAGTTATGCATTTCTTAATTGATTTTATTATGCTATTTGTAATGGAAAAATCACCTTAATTTAATTTAATGGAAATCAGTAAGGAATTAGAATCACTTAATAAATTGACCTTCCAACAGAACTTGCAGGGATCCCTGTACATAACCTCCTACATTCTACATTGCCACATTTGGGAGCATTGCTTAGTGTATATATATATATATATACTTTTTTAAAGATAAATTTATTTATTTTTGGCTGCGTTGGGTCTTCGTTGTTGTGCATGGGCTTTCTCTAGTTGTGGTGAGCAGGGGCTACTCTTCATTGCGGTGTGCGGACTCCTCACTGCAGTGGCTTCTCATTGCGGAGCACGGGCTCTAGGAGCATGGTCTTCAGTAGTTGTGGCTCACAGGCTCTAGAGTGCAGGCTCAGTAGTTGTAGCTCACGGGCTTAGTTGCTCCAAGGCATGTGGGATCTTCTTGGACCAGGGACAGAACCCATGTCCCCTGCATTGGCAGGCAGATTCCTTACCACTGCCCCACCAGGGAAGTCCCTGCTTAGCATGTTTTGTAAACTTGGTCAAATACATATTTTTCTCACAGCATACCCCAGAGGTCATTATCATTGAGAGATAGTGACACAGTGTTTACGCATCATCAATAAGACCTTCACTTTGAGTTCCTTTTTCTTATGGTGATGATTTGTCAGCCTTCCAAAAATATTTTTTATTCAATTCTGACCCCTTTATGAATTTAATAGAATCAAAAGACTTGCCTATGACAGTAAAGTGGTTTTTCCCAGTTAATACTTGTCTAGCTCTAATAAGGATCTAGTCAAGTTTCAGTGAAGATGACCTCTTTACCACTCTGTTTGAAAGAGTTGAGCCAACTGCTTTCAGTAGTGAAATTATTCCATGGCAGGTTGTGTGCTATACCAATCTTTTAGACCTCTGACTTCTTTTAAGAGGAAAATTAGATTGAACTCTAATCCTGCTCACTAACAATGGCTGCATATGTGTCTTTTCTCTTGGAACAGCTCAATGGTTATTCGGGACTTAACCCTACGCAGTGCTGCTAGCTTTGGCTCCTTCCACCTGATCCGTCTGCTCTACGACGAGTATATGTTCTACTTAGTAGAACATCGTGTTGCTCAGGCAACAGGAGAGACACCCATAGCGGTCATGGGTGAGGTAAGAGAGGCTAAAAGAGCTATGACCCACAGGGCTTTCTAAAAAGATCTGAATTTTATTTTAATCTAAAGGTATTAATCATCGAAGCAGCCAATTGGTTCCTAACCAATGAGTCTTGGACCCCAGAGGGCCTGTGTGGTTATTTCAGGGGGTCCTTAAATCCCTCTGTTCATACATATTTTCTTAGTCATAGGTTCTAAAACTGTCGATTATATCATGTGAAAGTACATGGAATATTTAAATATGCTATAAAGGTGTCTATGTAAAAGAAAATCTTGAGAATCACTGAACTTTAAAAAATCCTTAATATTACTCAGCCATAAAAGAGAATGAAATAGTGCCATTTGCAGCAACAGGGATGCACCTAGAAATTATCATACCAAGTGAAGTTAAGTCAGAGAAAGACAGATATTATATGATATCACTTATATATGGAATCTAAAAACAATAGTACAAATGAGTTTATTTACAAAACAGAAACAGACTCACAGACATAGAAAACAAACATATGGTTACCAAAGGGAAAGCAGGGGTGGGATAAATTGGGGGGTATGGGATTAACAGATCCACACTACCATATATAAAATAGATAAGCAACAAGGTTTTACTGTATATAGCACAGAGAACTTGATCCAATATCTTGTAATAAACTGTGTGGAAAAGAAATGAAAAAAAGTTTATAGATATATACATATATAAATATATGTATAACCGAATCACTTCGTTGTATACCTGAAACTAACACAATATTGTAAATTAGCTATACCTCAATTTAAAAAAAATCCTTATTGACTGGAAAATAAGAAAGATTGATGCTTCTGATAAGGCTAAGGGCTAGGAACTCAGAGGAAAAAGTTAAATATGTATTTTGTAGACTCTTTTTCCAAGTGCCCGAGAACAAAATGAAGGATAATAACAATGATGATGAAAATGATAGCTAACATTTTGGGGGCACTTACTATGTGCCAAACAGTCCTAAGTCCCTTATGTATAATAAAGCATTTAACACATACAACAACTGTTTGAGATAGGTGCTACGTTATCCTGTTTACAGATGAGAATCTGAGGTTCAGGAAGAAAGCTAAGACACAGAGAGATTAAAGGGTTACATAGCTAGCAGACAGTGGAGACCTGTTTTGAATATTCAGTCTGATTTTCATACCCATGCTCCTAATCACTAAAGGTGTAGGAAAAAAATTCTCTTCTTAATTTCTGGATAGTGTCAAAATGTATTTTCAACATGTCATAAAGCTAAAATGCTAAAGTTAATATACACAAGGGCTGGCTAATATAATGAGGGATAGATGCACATGCACAAACGATTCAGCCCTGGCTCACTTTGTTGTATTGAACTGGGTTTTGATTGAATCCAGATTTTGCTGGATTATGCCAGGTTAGGCAATGTTACATATTACTGCCCAAAGCAGTCAAGAAGACATGTTCACTTTTAAGCTATGTGTATGTGCTTATTTAAATTTAAAAAGTAAAAATAAATATTAGATGCTTTTCCTAGTTTAATAAATATGATAAAGGTATAAATTTTAAAATATGTTAAAATACCTCAAGGACCTTTATAAGTATTCTAATATAAATAAAATACATGTGACTTTTATTCAGAAAGTTGGTTAAAATATTCTTCTTTCCCTCTTTAAAATCCCTTGCTGTATGCTGATCTATATGTGTTTGTATGTTTCTTAATGGTGATTGTGCCTAAATGATGCCAATTATGTGTATGTGAGATTAAGCAAGATTCATTTTAGCTTTTAAATTACAGGCAGGACCTCATCATTGACCAAAACAATCTGGACTTTTCTTAGATTTGACTTCCCCTCAGTGCCTCTTTGCTTAGTTCTCTTATAGATGCCTGGTTGCAAAATGCCCAGTTGGCAAGTAGATTAAATACGATAAAATTTTTTAACTCAGGGCTCAAAACTTCTGAAATAGACATGCCTTTTGGTATATTTAACACATTTGGCAACTACCTCATATGCTCCAGGACTTCTTTAACAGAATAACCAGGATAATGATAAACAGTGATTCTCATTAACACCATGTGGCTAATCCTGATGCGTGATCTCCGTTTCCCTTGCATCTCTAGGGAACAAAGCCTGTGGCCATGAGCCAGTGACACGGTGTGAAGACTTAGCACTTAGCGACCTCCTCATATGCTAATACAAGCAGTACTGGCTCACCAATATTAAAATGTCCTTATATAGTCTATACTGCCAACTAATCATTCTAATGATTTAATTGACATTCTTTTTTACTATATGTAAACAATGTAAATGAATAAGACAGATTGCCACATGATGGCAAAGATATAATATAAATAAAGTCTAGATCAGAAAGTAAGGTATAAATACCTTCTCTAAGATCAAAGATCTAAGCATACCTCTTGATTTCTTTGCTTACTATCTCCTTACCCAATTTATAGGAAAATCCTTTGAGCTGTCTATGCTCATCCATTATTTAGCCAAGGCCAAGTAAAGCTAATTTTACAGGCTTGATCTCCCCATAAAACATTGATGCCTCATAGACCAATTGGCCATTATAGACCTGTTGGCCGTGGTCATATTATCATGTCTAAAATTTCTTGATTCTTCGGAAAAGGAGAAGGAAATTCAAGGGAAAGGAAGGCTGTTTTCTCATGCATCTCTCACGTGTTATCCTAAGCCTACCCTAGAAATGAGATTGGAGGTAAAAAAGGCTTTCATGTGTCAAGCCTCAGCTGCATTCTTAGCTCCGTAAATGACCTCCCTTTCCAAACCTCTAGTCCAGAAGTGCCTGTGTATATAATGGGAGCAACACCACAGGCCAAAATCCATTGAAATCCATAAAAATCACCATTACCCTCAGTTGCAGCAAGTGGTTTTCAATCATCAGTAACAACAACCACAAAAACAGTAATAATTGTCACTATTTATTGAGAATTTATTATACCCTTAATGAAATTAAGCTCTTGATCTATCTACTAATGGTCCTTTCTCAGTAAATGGTACCCACCCTGTCGATCATGTTGGATATGTGAGCATCATCTTTATGTATCTTTCTGTCTTGACCTGCATATCCAACCAGTTACTAAGTCTGCCCTTTCCCAAACTCCCCATAGTGCAGTCAGTATCATCTTATGAAAATGCAAACCTGATTGTGTTATCCACACTTAAAACCCTTTAGTGGCTTTTTTCTTCTTCTACTTAAGGAAGAAAAGTCTTCCCTTGGTATAAGATCTGGCCCTGTCTCTCTGATCAACCTCACCCTCCCTCTTTCAGGTCCTTCTGCTGCAATCACAGTAGTCTTTTCTCTATTCTTATTCACCAAGCTTTTCTCATCATTGGCCCACTGTGTAAACTGTTCTTTTACCTGGAACCCTCTGCCTGACTCTCCTTGCCCATTCTAACTCCTTCATGTCTTAAATATCAGTTCCTCGAGGAGGCCCAATTTCCCCCAGACTACGTTAGATACTCCTTTTCTCTCTGATTTGCACTTTTACTTTTCATTCTAGAACCTACGTAATATTAATTGCGTGATTCTTTGTATGATTTGTGTTATCGAAGATTTAATGCCTGGAAATAATGGAGAACTTTAAGTCAGAAGAACTAAACTCTACTTATAGTTCTGTCATTTATGGTAGTATAATCTTCGGCAAATTGTGTTCACTTTTGTTGATTCTCAGACTTATCTCTAAAATTAATTTTTTCATTTATTTAACAAATACTTCTTATGCATCTACTCTAGACCAAACATTATAATGTTTAGGATGTAGTGATGAACAAAATGGATTTTGATGCTGCATTCAAGGAACTTATATTTTAGTAGGGGATACATATTTGTTAAATGTTCATATAACTACATAGCTATAAATTCTGATAAGTGCTGTAAAGGAAAATTAAAGGGATATAGGAATACTTAAAGAATAATATTCACTTGTGAGTGAATATTATTTTTAATCTATTTTACAGATGATGAAATGAGACACAGAGCCATCAAGTCACAGTCACACAGAGTCACACAGCTACTAGGTTGTAAAATCAGGTTCTGAAACCAAGCAGCCTGGCACCAAAGCCCTTGCTGTTAATCTACCATGCTTATTACCTGCTGCAGGATGGGGTGAGATTGGAATAAGAATAGTTCAGAAATCAGTAAAGGGACAGCTGAAAAATAGTCACAAACTTTATTGGACATTTGTTTTACCTTTATAGGTGCTGTATTTGGGAGAGGTGTCAGGCAGCTAAATAGATCCAGAAGCAAAAGGAAAGGTTTCCCTTTCAAGGTATCTTAAGGATAATTAATACATCTTTTCACTAATGTGAATTCAATAAGTGAGTTTTAAAACTCATTTGAACAGGCAAGAGAGACCAATACATTATGTTTTACATATAAACACAGTATACAAGTTTTATTTTTACATTCCCTGTAGCACTGACATTTCAGTTGTTGAAATGAAGGCTACCATGTAATGGAACCCCCAAATGAAACAGCATCACCACCATGAGTTTTCTTCTAAACGTCAGCCTGCTACTACATTAATACTGAGCAGTAAGTTATTTAAAGCATGTGCATTTCCAAAGTTTCATTATTATTTTTATTTTTTGCCTAGATGATAAAAAGGAAACTACTGCTAAGATTTATGCAGTTTTTTGAATTTTTATTTAAATGTTATAAATATGCCAATAGAGTTTCTGGCAGTGGTGAAATTTTAAGAGTAGGAATAAAATAAAATAAACAAGTTGCATCTGTTTGTACACCTGTTAAATTTTTTTAAAAATCATAAGGTTTTCTGTACAGCTCTGACAAGGAAAATTGAGCAGAAAATATTTTTATTTGGATTTTATGACTAGTTGAAGGATATTTAGAAGTTAATGGCATACATGCTTTATTTCTTTAAAATATACGTAGTCTTAATATATTCACTGAATCTACAAATTTTTATTGCTTCGTAAAATGATTTTCTGTGACAAACATTTTTATATTTAATGTATTAAATATATTTAAAATGTCTT